GGACAATTTGACTTCCTTCTTTCTAATTTGGATACCCTTTATGTTTTTCTTTTCCCTAATTGCTGTGGCTAATACTTTCAGTTCTATTTTGAATAAAAGTGGTACAAGTAGACATCCTTGTCTTGTACCAGATTTTAAAAAGCTTTCAACTTTCCCTGTTAATATGATGTTATCTGTGAGTTTGTCATATATGGCCTTTATTGTGTTGAGGTACTTTCCTTCTATACCTAATTTATTGAAAATTTTTATTATAAACCAAGATTGACTTTAACAAATGACTTCTCTGCATCTATTGAGATGTCCATATAGTTTTTGTTTTTAATTTTGTTGATGTGATATGTGATGTTGATTAATTTTATATGCTGAACCTTCCTTGCATTCCTGTGATAAATCCCATTTGATCATGGTGTGTGATCTTTTTGATGTTCTATTAAATTTGAATTGCTCCTATTCTGCCATGGATTTTTGCATATGTGTTTATCAGGAATGTCGATCTGCAGTTTATTTTGTTGTGTTTATCCTTCTCTGGTTTTGGTGTCAGAGTTATGCTGGTTTCATAGAATGAGTTATGAAGAATTCTCTCCCCTTCAATATTTTAGAGTAGTTTGAAAAGAATTAGCATTAGTTCTTTTTTAAAACATTGATAGAATTCAGCAGTGAAGATGTTCAGGCCTGGGCTGTTATTATTGGAAGACTTTTTATTAGTAATACACTCTTGTTATTTATTGTCTCTTCTGGATTTGTATTTTTTAAAATTAAATCTTGATGGCTGTATGTGTTCAGAAATTTATTCATTTTCTCTAGGTTTTTAAAAACTTATTGGCATATGGTTGTTTACAATAGTCTCTAATGACCTCTTTTATTCCTGCAGTATCAGTTGTGGCATATTCTTTATATCTGATTTTTAATTAATTTACTTTAATATTGACTTTTATTTATTTATTAAATTATTTCATATGTGTGCATATTTTTAGAGATTGTGGTAAACACTTCCAAATTTCCCTGAAGAAAGATTGATTCCAATGCATAATTCTCCTATCTTCCTCTTCCTCTGTGAATAAGAATGTTTGCATCAGTGTATCCTCAAAAACACAACAATCACAATGTTCACATTTTTTATAATGCCTCACTCAGTGCTGGGCACACTGTAGGGGTTTGATTCCAACCACATAAAGTTCCAACAAAAGAAAAGTCCCTCACTCTTGAAGCCATTTATTGTTCTGATAAAGGACGGGGTGAAAAAGGACACTATGTGTGTTGGGGAGGGGAGATAACCTGTGCACTCAGAAAGCTGAAGAAGTTCTGAGACCTGGGTGAGAAGCCTTAAAAAAAGGAAGGGTGCATGAGGAAAACCTAATATGTCCTCTGTGAGCTGAGGGGTCTCAAGTGACAATTATATATCCTTTCCATGCTCCCAGTGCCTACTAAGCCCATGCACAGCAATGAGGTTGTGAGAAGGAATGAATAAATGAGTGTGTTGAAAGACTACAGAAGTTTAAGATCAGCCAAGATTAAACTTTTCTGATTTGGGATTTGGGGATTCAAAGTCAGTTTAAGACTGTGGCCATGCAAGCTTGAGAACTTTTTACTCTGAGTCCTGTTGCTGTAAATGAAAGTAAAGACTGGCTGGGCTCGGTGGCTCAGCCTGTAATCCCACTACTTTGGGAGGCCAAGGCGAGTGGATTGCCTGAGCCCACAGGTTCGAGACCAGCCCGGGCAACTTGGCAAGATCTCGTCTCTACAATAAATCGAAGATTAGCCAGGTGGTAGCACATGTCTGTAGTTCCGGCTACTTGGAAGACTGAGGCAGAAGGATTGCTGGAGCCCAGCAGGATGACGCTGGGGTGGCCATGAGCATGCCACTGCCCTCCAGCCTAGGTGACAGAGTAAGACTCCAACTCAAAAAAAAAAAAAATGGGAGACCAAGCCCAAAGAACCCCTAAGCAAAGAAAATTTAGTTGGACCTCACAAGCGACTCAACCCTGCTTGATTTGCAAAGATAAGTGACACTTAACTTGATTTATTTCTTGTAAATATACATATTAAGGAATTACAGAACTTAAGTTCAACCAGTCAGAAGAGGCCAACAGGCTTATTACATAACTAGGGTCTTTCCACCAGGATAGATGAAATAAGGGAACTGTATAACCGTAACCAATGTAATAGATAGATATAATTTTTGCTTTACTTTTCCTATAACAGCCTCCTTTTGCCTTTTCTCAGTGGAGCTCCTGAACCTCTTCATGTCTGGAGCTGCCTGATTCACAAATCAATGTTTATTCAAATAATCCCTTCAACATTCTATTGTCTAGGTTTACTTTTGACAGTCCCATCTTCTACCCACAGGTAAGCAGAAAAAGCACACAGTCATGGGGTTCCACCTGGGCCCCCACACACCAAAGAAGCAGATGACACAGCTACTGGACATCAGAAATTAAGCCTTCTGATTCTTAGTCCTAGGGACTAAGTGAAGGGGTATGGTCTTGGGCCACGTGCTGGATCATTTCCACTGGAGCCGGTGACTGCAGAGGCGAGATATGGTTGCACAGGAGGAAGCTGAGGGGACATGCCTATGTACTGGAAGGGGGCAGAGCCAGGGGAGGAAGGGGATCTTCAGATGAGGTGATGAGGGGAAGCACCGGGGTGGCCTTAGGAAGCCTGGATGAGGGACTAGGAGTCTAAAGAGAGCTGGTGGTGAGTAGAGATGGCAGGAGAAGAGGCAGAGAGAAGGGTAGAGACAGGAGACATGTGGACAGGGGAAAGAAAAGGCAGCTTGTGTGTGTGTGTGTGTGTGTGTGTGTGTGTGTGTGTGTGTGTGTGTGTGTAAAGGGAGGGAGAGAGAGAGAGAATGTGTGTGCGTACTCTCGTGTGAGAACACAGGCTCCCTTCCCTGACTCCAAACTTTATGCTGAGTCTCAATTTGCATCATTTCCTGTAAAACAAATGTAAGATTACAAGTGGGTCTGTAAGAGGTTATTTGCAGCAGTGAACATAAGTGACCCTTCTGAGTAGCCAAGAGCCTGGGAGAGAGAAAGACAGGAACAGATAAAGAAGGTACTCCAATGAACAAATGAGTAAGAGTTTGTAAGAACCTCTTTGTGATGTTGTGTATGCAAAAAACTAGGATCTGAGATGCCCCTGCTCAGCCTGGGAGCCTCTACCTCTGGGTCTCCGAGCCCAAAGGATTTCAGGAAGGTCTGTACCTGAGGTTCCAGAAAACTCAGTCAAGTCCCCTAGCTGGATCCCTTGCCACAGATGAGCAGCCTCTCCTATGGATCAGATTTGATGGGGAGGCTGGGGAGGGCAGGCAGTCCTCTGCCTCCGTGAGCCTCCCTAAGTGGAGCACTGGGTGGAGCAGCCCTAACTGCCCGAAGTTCCCAGGAAAAGGGCTGCTACTTCTGCTGCTACTGTGGTTCAGGTGAGAGGACAAGGGGACTGACTTGGAGGGCAGGAATGGGTACATGCACAGGAGCTCCAGGTCTTTCCTCTACCTCCCTCCCTGCTTTCCTTACCCAATTGTCTTATTCAGTGTTTTGTGATTTGAAAGGGGAGGAGGTTGAGGCTGACTTAGCAGCTCTTTTCTACAGGTTACTGGCCTGTGAGAGAGGTGGGAGATGTAAGCACATATAAACACAGCACCCTGGAGACTCATCCCAAGGTCACCCCAGTTCTGTCTCTGCCACAGCAGAAGGGGGTCTCTCCTGTGCTAAGAAATGCTGGGCTCATCTACCAAATAATAGAGCTTGGTCATTCTCTTTAGTTTGCAAGGGACAAAGGGATGCAAGAAGAAGGTGTTGCCTTACTCAGAGCCTCAGCTACAGTGGCTGCTGGGTGGGCACTGGGGTGGATGTCTTGGGTTTTCGGCCCTTGACTATCACAACTCTGGGCTCCATTGGGAAGACTGGAGCCCCTGAATTTGGGGAAGGCAGCATGCACTGAGAACCTACTGTGTGCAAGGTACCATCCTGGGGCATAATTCTCACAGCAACCCAAAAGAAGAGTGCAGCTAATTCCACTTGACAAATAAAGAAACAGATGTAAGGTGACCTGATTATATAAGAAAGTAATAGAGAGGGGGTTTTAACCCATGTTTATTTTGACTCCAAAATGTGTGTTCTCTATTCTATCGTCCTGTGAAGAAACTGTCTATGTGTACGTTAGTGGAAGGCTCTGGAGTGAAATTATCAGAAGAGTAAGTAGTGAGCTTAGGGTGAGCAGAGAGTTGGAGAGACTCCACAGCAGCTCTCTCACTTTCTCTGACCCTGAGACACCCTCCTCTACCAGTTCTGCTCTCTCTCCAACAGACCGTGGATCATGAAGGGCACTAAACACATCTTATGCCTAGGCACATACTGCAAGATATTGTAGGCGAAAAAGGAATGATTGTAGCATCCTTTGGTTCAAACTACACTGGAAGTTTATATGTATGTTTGGACAGGTTTCATCTATGGATTTCACATAACTAGTACATTTTAAAATTAAACACCACCAAGAGTGAGCTGAGAGAGCGTGCTATTTAAGAGGTGACTGCAGTGAACCTATTTGTGAAATAAATAACTGCTCACCCTTTTTCAAATATTGGGTTTTCTTTTTTTTTTTTTTTTTTTGCAGGCCAGCTAGTTTATTCAAATTGAATGTAAACCGTAGATCTCTGGCTCAACAATAACATAAGAAACCTTTATAGTCACAATAAATCTTGTGTTAAATCAGAGATGGTTTAAATCAGTCTTATGACTTCTAATATTCTGGGCTGGCAACTACAGTATGACAAATGTTCAGTCCAGTTACAAAACCACATTTATTTCCCTTGGCTACCAAATCTTAAACAGATCTGAAAAATGCACTGTGTTACAAAGGCTTTTACCATAGATGCTGCTGTCAGTCTCAGGTAATTATGGTTTCTTCCTCTCCCAAGAACATTCTAAATGAGAGGGATTTTTCTTTGATCTGCTCATCTTGATGGGGATGTGAGAACTCAGAGTAAGTTTAAAGAATGAAGATTGAGATGCCAAGAAAAGTTTTTATTGCAAGCACAGTGAGCAGAAAGAGATGTCTTCTCACACAAAGTGGCCACAAGGTCTGCCGTTAACTAAATCTCTTTGACAACCCTTCATTGGTTTAAAGCATATGAGTTAGCTTCTTGCTATCAGGTGTACATCATTTCTGCCATGTGGGACATTTTCTTGGGAATATACAAGTAATACTCCATGTAGCCTGATAGGTCCTCAATGGTCACATCATCCACATAGACTCGAGCTTGCTCGGAACAGGATCGGGGAGAGCCAGACAGAGTTCTGGTATGCAGGGACTGAGAGTAGTCCTCAAGCGTGGATCTTTGTTCTGGTGCCAGGGGAGGGACGTTCTGCAGGCCTGAAAAGGAATATACCTCCATATCATGCCATCTCTTACACTGGCATTCCTTGCCTATGCACGCACATGGCTTGCCCTGGTTTAGCTTGGAAACAGACTGAAAGTAAGAGAGATCACTGGCTTTGAGACTTGCTTGGGAGACTTGGGTGGCATCAGAGTCATCTTCCTTCTTACTCTCTGATGAGAGCCTTGGAACCAAAGTTCTCAAAGGCTCAATGATTGCCCCTGTGTGATTAGCATCGAGAGAAGTGGAGCTTTCTCCTGCACTGAACTCTTTAGGGGTTGAAATTCCCAGCCCACTGCTGCCATCAGGGGAGTCAGTCTGGCCTTTGTGCTTGAGTTGGCTGCTGGAAGAAGGTGCTATTGTACTGCAATGTATAAACTTTGGAGGATGAAGGACAGGAGACTTAGACCGTCGACGACGCTGGGTTCTCACTGCTCCTCGTGAAGATTTCCTTGTAGACCCGTGCCAGCTGTCTTTAGATACACATGTACTTTTAGGTTTGGTATCATCTGCTGCTGTTCTGACTGAGGCTCTGACACTTGCACCTTCTCCAACAGACAGAGATGCTATGGATCCAGATGCATCCACTCTTAATTTCTTGAAAGCAGTTTGTAGACTCTCCTCCTCTCCATCCTTGGCTTCAGATTTCATTGTGAAAGTTTTTACACTACTACTGATGTTCCTATTATACTCCTCGTAACCGCGCGGCGCTCAGATAAAGCGGTCTGGCCGGTTCAGCGGGTTTTCTTATCTAACTAAGTTGTTTGTGTTCTGAAATTTCAGAACTTAATGACTTGTGTTTGTGTCTGTGCATCTGCCTTGTTGAGGGCAGGACCTGGGTCTTACCACAAGACTGGGAGTCCCTGAAGACAGAGCTTATCTCTGTCCCATCAGACTAGAAAATACTGTGACGAAAGGGGCTGTGTCTGAGGGAGCTTCAAGTGTAAGGGCTGAGTTTTCTCCATTACAGTGGGGGCTCCCTGAGGGCCACCCCTACCTCCCCCATCAGACTGAAAGTTCTTTGAGGGAGGGTCCTGTGTCCCCCCATCATACTGGGTACTAGCTGTTTGCAGGGACTTTGTATCCCTCATCAACATGGGGGAGCTCCCTGAGAGTCGGGAGTGTTTCCCCTCAAACCATGAGTGCCATGACAGCAGGACAAGCTCCACCTCCTCTCCCTTCACCAACATCTTCAACTTCCAAGATGTCTTCTTCCTCCTGTCTCGGCCAACCTTGCTCAACACTGCCTGTCTCCCCAGGTGGTCCTGCTGAGACCGTGTACACCAAAGTGAGGTTTCCTGAAGAGCAGACTCTGTCTGTGCAGTGCTCCTACAAGGGCTACGAAAACTGCATGGAGGGCAAGATTTGGTGCAGAATCAGGAAGAAGAGGTGTGAGCCTGGGTTCACTCGGATCTGGGCAGAAAGCCTCTGTTACTTGCTGCAGGACGATGCTCAGGCCAAGATGAACAACATGACCATGGTGGTCCTCCAGCGCCAGGACTCGGGCCAATACCCCTTGATAAGCTTCCTGCTGGAGGCATTGCCAGGTGAGTGGGCTGTGAGGGCACTGGAGTGGATGGGGGTGTCCTCCTGCCCCACACTCCATTAGCATCATATATACTCAGATAATCATCCATCCACGGCCATGTTGCACTGCAGTGTTTTTAAAGTGCCTTACAGCATTTTTATGACAGCAAAGTGTCCACGGCATGATTGTCACCTTTTCACAGATGCAGAAAATGAGACCTGAGAGTCCTGTGTGGCTCTGACCTTGTCCAGACTCCTGGAGCTAGCAGGTGGCTGATATGAGATTTGAACTCAGGACAGTCTGTGCTAGGTTTTGTTTAGTCATCACTTCATCTATTCATGAGTCCCTCGTATCTTCTGGGCAGTAAATAGTCTCTAAGGAGGCCACGGTGAGCAAAAACAGGCACACTCCTGCCCCACAGGAGATGACAGACAACCACATATCATCCAGACAAATAATTGCAGGTACCAAGAAATGCTCTTAAGAAAACAAAACACTGTGATGACCTTAGACATACCTCAGTGATGCAGAAGCCACTGTCATATCGAGTATCAAAGAATGCCTTTCTGAACAGAAGACATCAAGTACCCTGAATGGAGAGAGTTCTCTAGCCCTGTTGAACTCTAGGTGCTCTGAAGGAAGCACCATGGAGAGACCTGCATGTGCAAAGGCCCTGCGGTGAGAAGGAGTTTGACCTATGTAAGGAAGACCTGTGTGGTGGCTCCATATTTCATATGGGACATTGATCTGTAAGGTAGGAGAGTCATCTGCAGCCCTAAAGCCCCTGAGATGGAGTTTGGGTTTACTGAGAGTATAAGAGGAAGCTATTGGAGAGCTCAGATAGGTTTGCTGTGGCCTCTTTTTAAAAATATAGTGACTGCTTGTTCAGGATGGATTGTGGAAGGTATGTGCATAAGCAGAGAGACTGTTCTGAGCACAGAAGACAGAGTTTCTCCCTAGCTTGGAAGGTGAGACAGTCTGTGAGATGACAGTACTGGTCCCACCAATGTTCACAGGTGTAAAGTTGCTGCAGGTAAACATCAGCCAATAGATGTGCAGCTATAACGGACAGTTCCAGGTCAGCAGCCAAGGAGCCTCAATATTCTGTCCAGGATGACCACTTCTCTGGCATCTTCACTGTCACTATGACTGACCTCAGGGTAGAGGACTCCAAGTTCTATTGGTGTGAACTTTCTGAATCTTCTGCAATCTTTGTTCTCAGAACCATCCATCTGGTGCTACTTCAAGGTGAATTCTTTACCTTCTTATCTGTGGATCTCAGACTTCCTGATTCACAAGATGTTAGAAATAGACTCTGAGGACCGGGAATGGTGACTCACACCTATAATTCTAGTACTTTGGGAAACTGAGGTGAGAGGATTGTCTGAGCCCACGGGTTCAAGACCAGCCTGGACAACTCAGTGAGACCTCATCTCTACAATAAATCAAAAAATTAGCCAGGCATGGCGGCACGTACCTGTAGTTCCAGCTTCTTGGAAGGCTGAGGCGGAAGGATCATCTGAGTCCAGCAGGTCGAGGCTATGGTGGCCATGAGTATGCCACTGCACTCCAGCCTGTGTGACAGAATGAGAGACTCCAACTCAAATAATAAATAGACTCTGAGGAGGCCACCGTGAACAAAAACAGACACTCTCCTACCCCATGGGAGACAGCAGGCAATCACACATTATCCATATGAATAATTGCAGATACCAAGAAATGCTTTTAAGAAAATAAAACGCTGTGATGACCTCGGACATACCTCAGTGATACAGAAGCTACTGTTTTGTGCTCTTAAGAGCATTTATTGGCAGCTGCTACTGTAGTTAGAGCTGGAGAGAACCCTAGAAATCCTGTCCATCCACCCACTCACAGTCGAAAACTGGGACCTGGGGGAAAAAACAGGTCACCCACTGCTAAAGAGCAGAACCTGCCTCAGAACTCAGGACTGCTGACTTTCAGTGGCTTCTTCCTTCCACCTCACATGGATTTTTCTCAGTCTTTCTTACTGCTATGAACAGGATTCTTCCATTGTTTGAAACAACTTTGAAGTTTCCCATGTTTGAGCACAGCTTGCTTAATGCCCTACCCTGGACATCCCTACTTCTGACCCTAACCTCCATCCTCTGCTTAAAAACCTGTGTCCAAGATGAATTACTGAGTTACAGGTTGGGAGTAGAGATGTGTGGACAGACAGGAGACAGCAAGACAGGGAGGCAGACAGGAGGCTTAAGGAATAAGACTGGGAGGTACAGCAACTAAAGGCTCTGGATCCCTGTGTTCACTCCTTAGACTTGCTGCTAACAACTGAGAGTCTTTAAAATGGGATGTCTGGGGTTGCCACTAATCCTGAAGTCCTTGGGTAGTCCTTCTGAAAACTGCAGAGTTGCAAAGCTTTTCTGTGATGGTCAAGGTTTGAATGGCACTTCTCAGATCCCCTCCTGCAAGCCCATTCATCTATTGGGTCAACTGGGTTCCTGGAGGACACAGACCAGTTTCTTTGTCTTCGCTGCCTAAACTTTGACTCACCGCCCATTACCCGTAGAGCACAGGGCTAGGCTAGGCTCTGGAAGGAGGCCCAAAAACCTTAAGATGCCATCCTGAGCAGATATCTATAGTTTAGTCAGAAAGACAGAATGTGAGTAAAGGGCTATGGTGCATGGTGGTAGGTGACTTAAGAGAAGCAAGTTGGATGGAGGCTCAGTAAAGCAAGTGGTCAGGTCATAGGAGAAGGCCAGGGGTGTGTCCCCACATACCAGAAGGACTCCACAGAGGAGGTCACACCATCTGGGTCATATTGGAAGAGCAACTAATGTGGTATCTGACACATAGTAGGCCCTCAGTGGATGTTAACTGGATGAATAACGGAAAGCAGAAAAGAGAGAGAAGGTTCAAATTCCTTGCACCAGGGTAATTCTAAGCCTAAGGAAAACAAGGTACATATGCAACTCATTAATAAAAGATAACTTGTAAAGCAATATGCCGCAGGCATAGGTGAATGCAAGGTAGAGCGAATGATACAAGGTAGAGTAATTAAGAAATTATTCTTGGAGATGTTGGGGGTATGTGGATTGGTGAAGGACAGCAGACTCGCAGTTCCAGTAAAAAGGATAGCCTGAACATTCCTGTTTTCTTTCCTCTTCCCTCCCCCCCTCACTCCTTCTCTTCCTTCTTTTCTTCTTCCTGACTCTGACTTAGGCAGACCACAAACTATGTCTCTGGTTTTAACAAAAGAAAAACTTGTTTCTTGGCCATGTTCATTTCCTCCCTCAGTTCTGTTTACCCTCCCACCTACTCATCCATCCACACATTCGTTGATTTATCTACCTATTCTTTCTATCACCTGCCCCTCCATTCACACATTCATCAGTTTCATCCATCCATTTATCCACCTATTCTTCCTACCACCTATTTATTTATCCACTCATCTATCTCTTTTTGTTTGAAAGCAGAATTTATTGAGAGGACATAAAAGCTCCCACTTTATCCACCTATTTACCCACCCATTTACCCACCTATCCATTCACCTATTTACCCACCCATCTACCCACCTATCCGTTCATCCACCCATCTACCCACACATTCACTCCAAGCATCATCCATCCATTCATCCACCCATTTCCAAACCATTCATCCTTCAAGTTACTCACTCATCCATCCTTCTATACAATGTGCCTCCCTGCAGGTCCTTCAGGTTCCCCTGCCACCAATAAGAATCCTACTCAGATTTCCACAGTTCCTTCTACCACCGCCAAGGCCCTTAGCCTGCTGCATACCAGCCCCAGTACCGTGACCCAGCCTCAATCCAACTCAACTTCTGTTGTCTTCACTCCTGGTCCTAACTTTGAGTAAGTCAGGAATCCCCTCTGGACACTGAGTCCTTTGTCCTCCAGTTCATGCACTGAGAGGATGTGGAGAATGGCCAACAGTGGAAGATGGAGCAGGAGCAGACTTGAGTCACCTCAGTCTGGGTAGAAAAGTCCAGGGAAAGAAGGAGGTGATGATGGAGGGCTGGGGAGGTTCTCAGTGCGGCTGTCATTCTCCCCAGTTCAGCCTCCTGGTTTCCTTGCACGCCACAGTAGTAAGGAGAGGGAAATGGCATCATTCCCAAATTCCAAGGGACACATGCAACCCCAGGGCCCTGATGGGTACTGGGAAAGGCACTCTGACTGAGAAACCCCAGATTGTAG